GTTTTTGTTGTTTAAGATTTAATAATCCCAACCATATCCATTTAGAGTTTGTGTGGATAAAAATTAGTAAAGGAAAGAGAAGGGAAGAAAATAATAATTTTTTTTTTTATTTCGATAGATAAAAAGTAGAGGAGAATAAAGAAAAATATTTTTATTTAATTAAATGATATTGTTTACACCCATTTTTGCAAAAAATAAAATGGTGCCACGTGTCATCCATATTGATAGTTATTTCATTGGTTAAAAGTTGTTGGTGTAAATCTCTCCAGATAAAGTTTAGTAGTTATTTCCACAACGGCAGCAAAGTCGTTTACTTGTTGCAAACTTTCAAGAGGATAATCGGCAACACAAATAGATTAATCAATTTGCTATAGATTTTATGCTGTCGCCAGCAAAAACTCCACCATGCTACCAATGTGCTACAAATATCCGATGATTAGATCAAGCAAAAAGACCAGCCTCTCACACAACTAATCCAGCGTTATCTACATTTTAGTTTTACAAGCAATGTCTTAGTTTAGATCCAGTTTTCTCAAACAGCTTTCCTAATTTAATTTTTAGCTCTACGCTGCTATTAGTTTTAACTCTAGTTTTTGTTATTTTGTTGTGAACATCTTCACTTGATGTATTTAGTTTTCTACAATTCAATTTACTGCACTTTGCCCCAAATTCATCTCTCTAGTTTCTTTGAAGTTTTGTTTTATATTTCATCTTTTATTTCATTCTTTACGCTTTCATGCTTTCGCAGCAGCATTACGCTTCCACTCTGCAACTTAGTTTTCTCGCCATGCACTCTCTTTCTTCTCCTTTCCTTTATTTTTCTCTTTTATTTTGATCAACAAACTAATATTTTGGCCCTAGTTGTGGGAAGTCCCTGATGTTCTTCTAGGGAAATTATTTATGGACCTTTATGTAAGAATACGGCCCCGTTTCTGCAACAATCGTCTGACCAGGGCGTATCTCATAATTTAATTAACCGGTGCTCTTCAATCAACTCACAGCTGAGTTCCACGCTTAAAAGTAGTGAGGGTCACTAGGAATCCCTCTTTCTCACTTTAAACAAAATGAGTGGCACACTTTTGCAGTCTTATCTGCCACGCAGTTAAAAAGGGAGATTTTGGAGACAACACATACAAAGAAAAATAAAATAAGATATTTAAAATTTATTGATTAAAACAATAATTGAAATAAAAAATTTTTATATATTTCTTTTCTAAAAAATTAAAAAATATTAATTATA